CCCCCCCCCCCCCCCCCAAAAACACGAAGCAGTCTGTGATGAATCCAGGAGAGGCTTTGGCAAGGATTTTTTTTTTATTGGGTCTCTGGCACAGCTTGGAGATGCAGGTTTGGCACTGTGGACTAATGAAAGTGCCCCGACCGTTCCTTGGATGTGTACTTTTTTACTTTGGCCACAAGGGGGCGAGAGCCTCATGTGTATGTTGTATGCTTTTTTTTTTTTTTTTTTTTTTCTTTTCTTTCCCAAACCAACACTAATTCCAGCTGGATCCATTCTTCTTTTTCCGATTGCCATTGTCCCTTCTTTCTGCACATTCCCTGTGCTTGATTTTTATCAACATTTCTGCCTTGCGGACGGAATGCAGTCTTGCGTACAGCGTGAGCCCGGCCACTATCCCCCCCCAACAAGTCAGTGGTGAGGTGGGAGGGGTTTGTAATCGGCACCCGTGGAGTGTATATGTGTGTCTGATACAAATTGATACAAATCTTGCCCCCTTTTCAACTCAATGTTGAGCCAATGTACAGTATGGACTGAATGTGCCAATGCTGGAGGGAGGGGCCTGGTTGGGGGGAGGACCCTGACTGACGCTTCAAGAGCCACATTCCTTAAAGCGACAGTCAAGCTGGCTGTTTATTTTTTTTAATTTTTTGTTTTTAAGTAAATATCAGATGCAAATGTATGCTATACATATTTCAATATTGTACACTTCACTTAGGACTAACACAAAGGATAACATTATATATCTCTGCACACGCGCCCTCCTACAGAACAGGCCACAGAGGAAGTGTTTTAACAGAAAATCAGACTGCTGATATAGGATTTCTGTATTTATATAAAATAATATATTTTAGCACAAAAGCCACTATTGTACTAGCTTTTTCCTATATAAAGTGAAGTTTTATGAGTGAGATGTCTGTCTGTATGGAGGTGGGACTGGTTACGTCTGGTTTACAGCTCTGGTGGTTTCGGAGCCACGTGGGAGAGGTGGGGGTCACGCTATGCCCCCTCCCCTGCCAACTTTATTTTATATTACCTGTATATGCAAATGGCCACTGTTTCCATGGTTTTAATGGAATATATAAATAAACAGTAGGATTGGAAGGAGAAAATGTTCTGTTTTTTTTGTTTTTTTTTTACCTTACCTGGGCTGCGGGGGGGTTGATCAGCTGTCTTATGAGTGGATGAACTGTATCCTGTCATGTTTGCTGTGCAGTCTTTGCTAAAGACCCCAGTGCTGAGGGGGGAAAAAATTAAACGGTCCTTGTCTAAGATACTTCGGCCTGCAGCAGTACCAGTTTCGCACAACAGAGGGCGCTCCACTTTGAAACATGAAAACTGAATATTTAAGTTAATGTTCGAGTAGAAGCAGATGGGGGAGACAGAGGCGTGCTGGGGAACGTAGCTGCGTTGTTGACTGCAGCACGGCCTGTCTGCAGCTGAACTTCCTCGTGAGCCACAAAATCTGACGGGTGAGAGGCCTCCTTCCTCCTGCAGATGAGAGCCCTCCCAGTGAGTGACTTACGGGCATAAAGGGGGTGGGGGGGGGGGCAGTCGCTAACGCTGCACATGTTCATCTTTACTCTCGGTTTCACTGCGGTGCCTCGCCACTCGTGGGCGGCCCCGAGTCTCAGCGCCGCACAGTGCTGGTAACAGGAAGCGGGGGCTGATTAGTACTGAGAAGGCTTTCCCTGGGCCCCCCCCCCCCCCCAGCCGCAGGCGCCTCCCCGCTCGGAGAGCGAGCGAGTGCGTCTTCTGCAGTCAGGGTCCGGCCGGCCTGCACGCGCTTGGGGTGCCGGCGATCTGCTCGCCGGGGTCGAGGCGCCATGGATCTCTGGAGGCAGTGTGCCTCCTGGCTGGTGCGCTGCCAGGTGCTGCCCTCCGCCCACCGGCTGGTGTGGGACAGCGCGCAGGTGTGCGAGTTGGCGTACGCGCTGCGCGACGGCGTCCTGCTCTGCCAGCTGCTCAACAACCTGAAGCCCCAATGCATCAGCCAGCGCGAGATCGTCTTGCGGCCGCAGATGTCGCAGGTGAGCCCGCTCTGCCCCCCCCCCCCCCCCACTTAATTCCAGAGCTGCCGTCACCGCCGTCTACGATGTCGTGACTCAGTGAAGCAGCGGCGTCGTTACCCGCCCCGGGGTCAGGATGCGTGCCCCATTTTTCGGAGACCACTAGCTCTGATTAATTATCGACCCCCCAGGTCCTGCTTTGCATGCAGCCAGTAAAGCAGCACAGTTGCGGCGCTGCTTAGCGTGCAGCTTCGTATCGGTTTTGGGTCAAAGGTTTGCTCTTTTCCCCTTTTTGCAATGTTGTTTTATTTTCTCTTTTGTGTTTTGTAACGAGTGTATAACCAGGGCTGCTGGAAGCCAATGTAGAACCGATAAATGTATCACTTGATACAGTTAATCACTGCTGCCAATTTTCTCACCTTTATGAATTAGATTTAATTAATTTTATTTTATTATTAGATTTGGTGCTTAAGTGGCTACTGAAGGAAAGTCTCTTTCTTTTTTTTTTCCTCTTCTCTCAATAAATAGGGCAACATGCCAGTTTTGGTTCTGCTGGGTTGGTTTCACTGGAATAACATGTGACAGGAACCTCATTCAAGAGTGCAACTGGAAGACCTGTCCCAGTTTCTTCTCCCAGCCTCTGACCCCCCCCCCCGGGCATACCCTCCCACCTGACTCCAGATCTCACTCTAGCCCAGGGGTGTCAAACTCCAGTCCTGGGGGGCCGCAGCCCTGTGTAGCTTAGTTCTTTCCCTGTTCCATCACAAATGATTCAGCTCAACTGCTATGTGGTAGTTAGCACAAGAAGTTGAATCAGGTGTGTTAAACGAGGGGAAACCCAAAAATGTGCAGGGCTCCGGCCCCCCAGGACTGGAGTCTGACACCTGTGCTCTAACCCATGTCCCCACTAAAATATCGGCAGTGGGAAACAGTATAGATGGGAGACGATCCGGAATGACAGATTTTATTAGGGGTACAGAGGAAATGAGTCTTTGATGCGTGTTTTTTCTCATTCACCGCCTGTCGTCTGTAGAGTCTGAGGGCCTGCTCGAGCCTGGGCTTGTGTTGGGGTTGCATGAGTGAAAATAGCATCTTTGCGCTACTGAAGTTTGCTCCTTTTCACACTGGTAGGCTCAGGCCTCTTGCCACCCCCCTCCCCTGCCATCTGGTTAGCTGGTAGAGTTGGTGTTTGTCTGGAGAGTGCTACTCCTCCCCATGTGACCGACGGAGCTGGACTGCTCTGCTGCTGTCTGTCTATTTTTTGTCAAAAAAGTCACACACTTTCACAGACGCTTGTCTCACCATGTCAAATGCATCTGAGTGTGACTTCCTGCTTGCTGGCTTCACTGCCATCCAAATTTGCACGGCAAAGTCCTCCTTGCCACCGCTCGGCCCTCTCAAACCGACTGGCATGTCTGTCCCACAGTTCTTCTGCCTGAAGAACATCAGGACCTTCCTCGGTGCCTGCGAGGTCCACTTCGGGATGAGGACGAGTGAGCTCTTTGAGGCGTTTGACCTCTTTGACCTCCGCAACTTTGAGAAGGTGAGAGGCCCTTTGGATCCCCTGTCCTGGGGCTGTCGAGGCTCACAAATGTATGTCACATTTACTCCTCCCCCTCAAAGCTCACTGTGCCTGGACGTGAAAGCAGAAGATCTGACCGTCTGTTCCCTTATGAGCTGTCACCCCTGTCCTTCGAAACCTTATGTGTGTGTGTGTCTGTGTGAGTGTCTGTGTGTTTGCACACGCTCGCCCATGTGAAATGTGAGCTTTCTCATATTTTATAGTGTTAAATGTCTGTGGGCTCTCACTGTTGCGTGTGTGTGTGTGTGTGTGTGTGTGCGCGTGTGCGAGCGTGTGTGTGTGTGTGCGTGTGCGTGTACATGTGTGTGACCGCTTTTGGCTATTCACCCTGGACATTATGTTCGGTGAAATTAGATGTAGATATGTGTCACTTCCTCTTTACAAAATTGACAGACCGGGTAATGAACTTTAACCATGTTATGGGGTTAACTAGTTATTTGGAGGGGGTGGGTGCAGAAAAGTTTGTGTGGCATGGTGGTGCATTAGGGGGGCAGCGTGTGGCTCAGTGGGCTAAGTCTGTGTGCCTGTAATCACAAGGTCACCGGTTTAAACCCAGCCTCAGCAAGTCTGTGGGTCCTTGAGCAAGGCCCTTAACCCCCAGCTCCCTGGGCGCCCCAACAGGTGGCTGCCCTTCGCGGACAACTTACTCTATAAAAGAGCAAGTTGAGGGAGGCGTAAAAAACAATTTCCCCACGAGTATCAATTATTATTATTATTATTATTATTATTATTATTATTATTATTATTATTATTAGTTAGTGCTGTCGCCTCACGTCTCTGGGATCAAATGTCTTCCATGGCTCTGTGTGTGTATGGAGTTCGTATGTTCTCCCCGTGTTCTCCCCGTGTTCTCCCCGTGTTTTTGTGGGGTTTCCTCCAGGTACTCCCCCTGCAGTCCAAAAACATGCTGAGGATAATTGGAGACGCCAAATTGTGATGGCTTGGTGCCCCATCCTGGGTTGTTCCCTGCACTGTGCCCTGTGATGGCTTGGTGCCCTATCCTGGGTTGTTCTCTGCATTGTGCCCTGCGATGGCTTGGTGCCCCATCCTGGGTTGTTCCCTGCATTGTGCCCTGCGATGGCTTGGTGCCCCATCCTGGGTTGTTCCCTGCATTGTGCCCTGTGATGGCTTGGTGCCCCATCCTGGGTTATTCTCTGCCTTGTGCCCTGTGATGGCTTGGTGCCCCATCCTGGGTTGTTCCGTGCATTGTGTCTGTAGGCCCTGGACCCCCTGCGACGCTGCATAGGACAAGCAGTTGCAGAAAACGGGAAGTATACCTATATAGACAATTATGCACGCATGCATTATTGAATCTGTAATTGAGTGCATTTAGGATCTCTGGTCAGGGCTTTTTCAAACCAAACTGCCAGAGGTAATG